GCATTTCATTATATCAATCAATCAATCAGTCAATTAAATGTATATAGCGTCGGTATCTGTTGAAATAATGGTCAAACAATCGACAAAGTTAAATTGGAAATGTTTCTGGGAACAGGTAGGCTTTCAGACGTTTTTAAAAAAATGTTGACGTTTTGTGTGTGAAGTTTTTATGCATAGGTAAAGTATTCTATAAGTTGGTTATGGGAGCCGATTGTCATTTAATCGTAAATAGAGATATCTTAGTTGTAAATAGGGATATCCTAGTTTTAAATAGAGATATCTCTATTTGAAGTAGAAATGTCTCTAATTAAAATAGAAATCTATATTTAAAACTAAGATATCTCTGAAACAGAGATATCTCGATTAATAGAGATATCTCAGTTTTAAATAGAGATACCTCTATTTTAAATAGAGATACAGTAGAACCCATCCTTTGGGATAACCCTATTCAGTTGACACCCCTATTTATAAGGGGACAATTTTCCGTGAAACGATTTGGAATATCTTTGAACACTACAGCCAACACCTATTAAGGGATGGGGTCACTTTCTGAGTGCAAAATTGCAGGAAACAGTTGATTTAACTGTTCTCCGAAAATGGTCCAATCAATACAATTTGACCCCTATTAATGGGACCATTTTCAAAATTTTATCAAAACAACTACAGTAGTCACAAAATAATGAAAAATTAAAAATCATTTAAATTTTATATTTTGGCACCTTTTGAGCAATAAACCTAACATCAAACCAGCATTTTTCCATCCTGAGAATTGGCATTTGATGCTAGTGTATGTGTTATTTCGTATAAATAATAATAAACAATAATAATAATAATAATAATAATAATAATAATAATAATAATAATAAAATAATAATAATAATATAATAATAATTTTGAACATTAACCATGGAGATTCCTTGTTTTGTGTATTTTGATATAGGATTCTAATCTATCCGGACATCCTGCACCCAGATATCTAAGTTGGTAACATCTACTAATAGTATTCCATCTTGTGCATCCAATAGAAAGCTCAATATTTAAAAAAAATTGGTCATTAATATTGCATTCGAATAAACAAACAATATCGGGAACATATACAACTTTTTCAGTTTTAATGACATCTGTTAATTTCATATCATAAATGAATTATTTTTTGCATTGCAAATTATTGTTATAAATTAGTTATAATTAAACTGTAAGGTCAATTATAATAACTTTTTAAAGAATCTATGTCATCATTATACAAAAACATGCCAAAAACCCATATTAAGGGGACAATTTTACGTTTTCGGTTAGTGTCCCCTGAATAGGGGTACCTCTATTCAGGGGACAACCCTATTAAAGAGACACATTTTTTGGTCCCGAAGATGTCCCTGTAATAGGGGTTCTACTGTATCTTTATTTTCATTAGAGATCTCGTAGCTTTGAATAGAGGTATCTTAGTTTGAAATAGTGTAAAACGGAGTATTCATGGGTAGGGTGTTCTGACTATCGACAACTGAGTATAGAGCCGCACGAAACCTTGGAAATCGACCTTCATTTATGCCTCTAGTCAAGGCGGAAGAGGCACTAATAACACCTCCCTGATCACGTATTAAAAGGGAGATAAATAATTTCTCACGTCGTTATACCAGGGAGTTGTTATAGTGACTATAACAACTCCCTGGTTATACCAAGAAAATAAATAAATGAATGAATAAGTGAAAATAAATAAATACAATATTTGAACATTTGAGCCCATTGTACCAAAAGCCTTTGCAATAAATTGAGTTGACTTGCTTGTTAGGTAGGTTTGTTAAGGCCATTTTAAATCTTGTTTTGTACAAAGAAAACCCCTGCAACATCACTGGCGGATTTAGAGGGGAGTAAGGGGTACGCCCCCCTCTATTTTTTTTTTTGTAAAAAAATTGTATTGTAAACCTTATCAGAAAATTACCATGCTAAATATTAAAAATCAATCAAATATCAACTCAAATTAATGAATGTGCTACTATAGAGGTTAGGGATACTTCCCTTCCACACCTACCAGGGGCTCTTTCCTGAGACTCTCACTCAGTTCAGACATTCACGTCCCCTCTTTCTTACAGGGCTGGATCCGCCCCCGTAACATTATAAAACTATGGAACGCCAAAAGGACAAATTACAAGTGGTGCAGTGCAAAACTAAAGTGGCACAGTGCAAACTCAAAATGCGTGTGCCACCACTTTAGTTTTGCACTTAGCCACTTAACTTTTGCACTGTGCCACTTGACTTTTGCACTGCGATTGTAGTTTGTCCTTTTCGCGATATCACGCCAAAAGGACAAACTACAATCGCAGTGCAAATGTCAAGTGGCACAGTGCAAAACTAATATGGTGGCACACGCATTTTGAGTTTGCACTGCACCACTTTAGTTTTGCACTGCGCCACTTGACTTTTGCACTGCGCCACTTGACTTTTGTACTGTGCCGCTTGACTTTTGGCGATATTGTATGGAACGCCAATTTGGCATTAAAATGGAAATTAATTAATTTTTACTAGGTAGGCCTATATTATTATTATTATTATTTTTATTATTATTATTATCATTATATTATTATTAAAGGCCACAGTAATATATAAATAATTAAAATGCCTAAACAGTATTTATTTTTCAATATATAATTATCAGAAATCGGTGTCGCACACTTAGACCACAATAAAATTAATATCATATTCATTTAAATATTGAAATTGTATTTATGAAAAATGTTTAAAAAAATCTTTAAAACCGTATAGTTTACATTCTGTCAAAATTTAAACAGGAAAAAGAAGAAGAAATCTACTTGAGTCAAAAAAAAAAATCTGTGTCCTTTTATTTATTGACTTGCCAAAAATATTATTACTGTATGTATTACTTGTCTAATTAATAAATTTAAATGCTGAAAATGTCAATCTGAGCTATAATAATACAATGTGGAAATGCACGTTACTGAATCGATCTTCCTATTTAGCTACCCCGTCGGTTGCGTCGACCCTAGCAGGCCCGTATCCATCTTTTTTATGAAGGGGGAGCCAGGCTCCAGAACGTCATTTGTAATAAACACGCGCCTTCCTCGAGTCGAAGATCTGTCCAGATTTCCCCATTTTTTAAAATTTTATAAATGATTTTCAACTGGCTAAATAATTATCTTTAATATTAGGCCTATTTCTATTTCTATAGTTCGTGGGTTGACAAAGTCAAAGGACAACATATTAAAATCAATCTACCTTCAGGACAACCGTGGTCTGGGTTTTCATCTGTGAGTTCGCACGCAGCCTTATCCAGCTGACGGTAAAGTTAGTAGGTTTCTACTACTAGCCTAGACTTGTCATGCCATGGCGACTTTGTCACATTAATTGTGCTATTTATGCATATTTTTTCATAATAGCCTAGGCCTATAGGCCTACTAATAGCTATATAGGCCTGGAAAAACTGTCTAGGCCTAAATGTCTAAAAACTGCACTGTCTAAATAAAGGTGATGTGCTATAACACTACAGTATATCATCAGAGCCAACACCAATTCCTGTAACAATAAAATTATTATTGATATACTGTAGTCTGTAGGCCTAGGAGCTAGGCTACACAACAATAACGCCTCAATAACATGATGCATATGTTACTCCAAACCTAACTTTCAGCTGTTGTTGAAATGTGGAATTCAAATAAAATATTATACATATATATTTTTGTAGGACAAGATATGTGATCTGTCTCTTATACACATCTAGATGGGTATAAGAGACAGCGGGTGCGCTCCAGGGTCGAGTATACTCGTCTCAGGGTATTTCTGAGAGCGCTAGGAACGATTATACATGTCTAAACCGGGGTGTCATTCTAGCATTTTGACTTCATTGCTATACACTGACATATCGGCTGGTAGTTAGGGGAAGATACACCTAGACGATAACGTGCATATAACGTGTGTGTGTATGTTTGTTGTGTTATGTTGCTGGCAGTACAAAAGATTGCGCGTGTGGAGTCAGTGCTCTAGTATTCTTATTGTAACTCATTTGTACATTCATACAATCTTAATACTGTACTGTTATGTGATTCATTTTATAATGATTCTGGGAACAAGGTCACATTTTTTTTGGTTATAATTAGTGGACGTTTCGATTTAGGGGGGTGCGTACGCACCCAACGCACCCCCCTGGATACGGGCTTGCCTAGCATAGCCTAACTATAAGTAGTCTACCCCGACTAGCCTAGCAATGATGTAGAAACAAAACGCAACAGATTTTTTTTTTTCAAACTTACCGCTGATATCACTCGAAAAGTCACTCTTTCTTAATCGGAAATTACGCCGGAGGCTTTTTATGATGCTTACGCTTACCTCCATTTTTTCAGAAATTTGTTTATTTATATAACCCATCACTACCAAAGCTTCTAATCTGTCTCTAGTAGCCATGGCTGACAACTGTGCTATAGGCCTTTATTAGCGGTAGTAACGATGAATAGAATAGATACAGTAAGCCTAGGCTACGGTATCTACGACAAGTATGCCTATGATCATAACGTTCCTATTTGTGTTTTAGTCCCAAATTTTTGTGCTGTTAAGAAAAATTATTTATGTATTTTTTTTATTCATTTATTTTATTTAGTTTAATTTTGATGCCAAAATTGGCGTTCCATACAATATCGCCTAAAGTCAAGTGGCGCAGTGCAAAAGTCAAGTGGCGCAGTGCAGAAGTCATGTGCCACAGTGCACAATTCAAGTAGCAGCACACACATTTGGATTTGCACTGCGCCACTTTAGTTTTGCACTGCGCCATTTTCGTTTTGCACTGCGATTGTTGTTTGTCCTTTTCGCGATATCACGCCAAAAGGACAAACTACAAGCGCAGTGCAAAAGTCAAGTGGCACAGTGCAAAACTAAAGTGGCGCAGTGCAAAACTAAAGTGGCGCAATGCAAAATTCAAGTAGCAGCACACGCATTTAGATTTGCACTGCGCCACTTTCGTTTTGCACTGCGCCACTTTAGTTTTGCACCGTGCCGGCCACTTTAGTTTTGCACTGTGCCACTTGACTTTTGCACTGCGCCACTTGTAATTTGTCATTTTGGCGTTCCATATAAAACATTCATGTATCACTACTCCCACCAAACTGGTGAATATCATAAACACATGAAATATAACATTGAAATCGTCCTTAAGCGTTAAAATAATCTTCCTTAATTAATTATTTATGGCATATGCGTCGCACTTTGTAATAATCGTCGCACTTCTTAATAACTGTCGCACTTTGTAATAAAGTCTGTCGCACATTGCAATAACTGTCGCACTTTGTAATAAAGTCTGTCGCACTTTGTAATAACTATCGCACTTTGTAATAAAGTCTGTCGCACTTTGTAATAAATGAGTGCACTTTGTAATAACTATCTGTCGCACTGTGTAATAAAATGAGCTGTCGCACTTTGTAATAAACTCTGTCGCACTGTGACTTTGTAATAAAGCTCGATCCATGTTATCATCTATAGATTTTTGATAAATTCTCATTTTTCTCGGGGATTTGAATTTGACTTTTCCTTCTGTTTCGTATTGTGTCATCTTTACATGGAATGGCTCCAACCCAAAATGGACCCCATTGCCATATGCAACTATACAATTAGGCCACTATGCCAAAAATCAGGGTTCTTTCGGCCTAATCCTATTTGCCGTACATTTAATAACCTGCTTAACGTGAGTAAACTCTTTAGAGCAATAACAAATTGGCACATATCGATGCTACCCCAAATACACATATCATCAGGAGAACCTGGATTAATCAGTGTCAGAAAAAGGAAATTCGGAGCATGCAGTGTGCCTTATACTAGAGATCAGGAGGATAATTGGGCACTCAACATGGGTAAATGCGTGGCTTGTACTCCAGAGAGAGGGCCGTGTATGGGTGGTTGACAATCCTAGATATATTTTGGAGAAAAAAAGTGAAACAGACACAAAGCAATTCGCTATACCACCCTAATAACGTATTTCTATTAATTTCCTAATTATACCCAATTAGCAGTTTCTTTGTTTTTAAATACACTTTTGTGATGGGAGGTGTTTTTGTTAGCGATTCTATGCAAGTGACCGCTATGTAAATATTGTTTTAGCTACTCTAAATTTTGTCATACTTTGAAATGCAAAATTCATATCAATATTATTAGACTTACCCAAAATTTAAGATGTATCTCTTTTTTTATGTTGTAAGTTAGTGTTTACAATATTGTTATAGCATGGTACTCTTTCAGTTATTCATTTACGTTATTCACCTGATAATGATCTTCTAGGTAGAGAAGGTGGAATACCCTTTGACATGTTTAAACCATGCATTATAGTCAATGTTATATGTATCATAATTATGCAGTTCAGTTATTGTTTTATGTATTTAAGTTAGTCGTTTTAATAATACTACATTCAGTTTTTTCATTATCTTCAGAAGTGATGTAGAAAATTGATGTAGAAATAAAACATGACCTGGATGAAGATTACAGATTTAATGTCGATTATATTCTCATTATGTATTGGTTCATGATTTGACAAACAGTAAAAGCTCGCAATTATTAAATGCGGTCAATCAATCGACTGACATGGATCCATCGAACAAATTCAGTTAAATCAAAGAAATAAAATTCGACTCCTCATGATTTGAACCCGAGACCTCCGACATAAAATGTGGATGCACTAACCGACTGAGTTATGGGGTCCAGTAGAATTAGAGCCATACCAAATCAACGTAACGATAATATAATACGAAATAAGAGGAAAATTTAATTGGACCTCTTTGGGATTAGAACCCGGGACAGTCATGCGTTGTAGATACTCTGACTGACTGAGTTATGGGGGTCCAATAGAATTGCAACCATACCCCATAAACTTTGATTTGAACCCGGAACCTCCTTTTTACTGTTATAACCGATTCTTCCGACAATACTATGTGGACGCTCTGACCGATTGAGTACAATTGGACTCATACCACATCAACGTAACAATGATATAATACGAAATAAGAGGAAAATCAAATTGGACCTTTTTGGGATTTGAACCCGTGACCTCCGTCATACGGTTCGGAATCTCCAATGGATGGGGTCAAGTGGGACTGGAGCCATATCCCATATATCGGCGTAACGATGGTATAATAAAAAAAAAGGGGGGGGGGAAATCAAATTGAACCCCTTCGGGATTTGAGCCTGATCACTCCGACTTACCATATTGATGATCTGACCGACTGGGGGCCTAGTAGAATTAGAGCCATATCCCCATCGTCGGACACAAAATTATATAATCCGACATACGAGAAATATAAAATTGAACCCCTTCTGGATTTGGACCCGACACCTTCCAATCCCACTAGAGCCAGGGCGGGGTCTGTTGGAGCCATTCCATCGATGTAATGATAAAATACGAAACAGGGTGAAAAAATCAAAATCGATCCAAGAGAAAAATGAGAATTTATGCATACGTCACAGTAACAAAGAATCAATTGAAATCATAACACCAAATTTAACTCAAACCACATTAACAAATCCTCTGGGATAGCACAACCACCCCTAGCAGTATGCAATAGCACATTCCTGAATGTGGTGTACAAAGAATCAAACTACGTGGGTGACTGGCCTTGTGTTTGCTTTCTCGCAATAGAGTATCGTGGGAACCAAGTTGTGGGAATTCGTTCCTCACTGATTCACAGTCACTAGGCAACATGCAGTACTTGCAACTTGGTATTGTTTCTGAATTTTTTCTGATTTATCAAACTGGAAATCTGCTTAAATTCCTATTAAGTCCATTTTTTTGCTTAAAATTTGCCAAATTTATCAATATTGCTTAGCTTAAAAAATGCTAAAAAATTAAAAAAGTCGATTGCACGCATGCGCCATCTTAGACGATTTTTAAGCCAAGATTTTGCAAAGATGGTTTGACAAATAAGCTTAAGATATTTGCTTAGGAACATCTTCACTTTTTCTACTTAAGACATTTGCTAAGCTGAGATTGATCAATCCCGGGCCTGGACCAGAACTCTGGAGTAACTGCAATTTCTTCTCAAATGATATCTTGGGTTCTTTATACTGACCATGATTAACGTGTACAGTGGCAGAAATTCCATTTTGTGGGGGGGGGGGAGCATTTCCATCCATTGCAATATTTTATAAAAATATGCCAATATAAGTGATAATCACATTTAAGACTCATACGCTACTGTACTGTACAATGATTGTTTAATTGGATGATGGGACCATTTGTATTGGGAATAATGTTGTCTCTGAAAGTCATGAAGGTGCCTATTTTAAGACTCTCAGATCAGTATGCCATTGGGAGTTCCTGAAAGTTGATCAATACAGTAGCCTGTTAAGTGTCAGTATTGACTCAATTTAAGTTCTAACCACAGTGTGGCTGAGGTTGATTTTTGTTTTTACAGCTCATTCATGAAAAAAAAAATCATTTTTAAAGTGCATGATTATGTCTCTGTGAATTGACCCACTTTAATCTGAAATGACTAACTCACATTTGGTAGGGGAACAACCCTCTACCCCTCCCCCATGAATCCCTGCTACTGCTACAATATATATACAATATACACTGTTAAACCAAAGCCTTATAGTCATACCTGAGAATGTTTGACAACCTGAGCAATGAGCAAGGAGGGTCTTGAAAAAGCATCAACATAAGGTTCCAATTTGTGGCACCACAGGCTTATAATATCTGAAGAAACTTGGCTTGCAGCAAGCATATTAGCAAGTTACTAAGCTATTAATTTTTACATATTTTAAGATTAAATAAAAAAGTTATTACAATCAACTTAGCTAATACTAATGATAAAAGTAATCCAGAATTGTGAATCACCATTATCAGTCTACTGTATTGATTTGCATCTATGTATTGCACCATCATTGCCAATTCAAACACAAACCTATTTCTTATATATTTCCAAATGTTTTGTCTTGTCTGATTTTTCTAATAAATACTGTACATAAATTACGTCAAGTTAAAAGCATTAAAACATTTAAAATTTTGCAGAGAATGTTTATACATTTTAGTCTTGTTGACCAGTAATATTTCTCCTTCTAAGTGTTGCTTCCTCTTCCTCAATTCTTTCATTTGCTCTTATATTTTCAACTTCATCCACTGTTACATTAGTATCTTCCTTATCTGTGTACTTATCACATTCTTTTTTAACTGATGCACCATTTTCGTAGGCTTCATTATCTGAATCGCTATCGTCATATGCAATTTCACCAATATCATCTACTTCCATATCTGTATCACATTCATGCTCTTCATCAACATCAGATGGCGTGCTGGGATCTTCAGATTTGTCCTCCATATTTTCTGAAAAAGAAAACAAGTATACAAAATTATGGGAAATTTTTATAAATTGTATATCACTCAAAAAATTGATATTTTATTAAGTTTAGCTTTTATTTAAGCATCATCAGGAATAACAGGGAGATTTTGCAACCTTACAAAAACGATAACGAATACAAATACATCATTATCATTATCGTCATTCGTGCCTCAAACATTTATGACAATATGCTGTACGAGCTGAATTTGATTCTTAATTCATGCAAAACACATGAATCGCCTACGCTGTGACAGATAGACTACTTTAAAGGAATGGTTGTATTAAAATGTTATGACTCAACCATATTCCTTATCATAAACTTGCGAAAACTCCCTTATAATATTTAAGGCGAAAGTCTTTTTATACCTTATTTAGCAAACCCGCCACCTGCAAATAATGATGATTTCAAATAAAAATAAAATTTTATATTTGGCCAATTAGCATACCCGCTGAACACAGTTTTTCTTTATTCTTATTACACCCTCCGCTGCCTTGAAATCTCCAAATATCAGATATGTATATTTCTTCCTATTATAATTTCAAAGCATTTATTCATCCCATATCTACACTGTTTACATTTTCCAATAAAATTTTATTTTTATTTTCTCATCCATCTGGATAATTTTGGCAAAACTATTTGCTAAATAAGGAAACAATCTTTATATTTATTTTTTTTCTGCCCTTATCTGATGAAAAAAAGAAAAAAATTAATAATAATAAAAAAGTAATACTGTAAGTTAGCGAAAAAAGGAATAAAAAAAAGTCTTGCCTAATAAAAGCAAAACATGAAATAAAATGACAACATTTATTGTCCAATAAAACAACTGGACATTTTATTTCCTTTTATAACACAAAGCAATTACAATTAAAATACAATTGATAAAAAATGTTTAAAATGTCAGGCAGATATTTGAAGTTGATAACTTACAAAAAAAAAAATTAGAATGAAATTGATAAAAATATTGATACAAATATTTCAGAAGTTAAATCGTTTAAGATGATACATAAACGACGTTGATAAACAAGATAAACTCAACATTTGGCAGTTTAGAAATCCTTCTGAGCCCATATGCCATGAAGTCAGTCAACAACATCGAGCTGATCAGCACAAGAACCATGGTTGCAACATTCAAGGGTAACCCCAGGACTAGTATAGTTTGCTGTTATAGTCCAACTAATAATGCAGATGAGAATGTGGTTTTCGATTACTTTACACAATTCTCAAGTGAAATTAGGTCAATCCCAAAACATAATCTCACAGTAGCTGGTGACATAAATTCAAAAGTGGGTTCAGATGATTTACTTATTTTATTTTTATTTCAACAATATTTTGTGAGGGTGGTCCATCCAGCCTGAGCTGATCAATTGGGACCCTCAGTACATACAATTAAAACATAAGTACAGTACCGGCCAGTTTTATTGCAAAAATTCAACGCATTCAACCCGTTGCGTTTTCGTTGACAACGCGTTGGCGTTTTCGTTGGCGTTGTCGTTGAAACTGTTGACATCGTTGAGAGCTCAGA